AAAAGTGCTGCAAAATTGCAGAACCAATAGGAAGGTGACACGTGTGAAACACATTAAATGGAAGTGACAATTGAAGTGTTGTCACAGCATTAATGGTGACAAAAATTCCCGTTTTAATGAAATCCACTTCCCAAATATTCAATTGATGAATAAATGGCAAGTGTGGGGACTATCTGTATTGGGAAGAATTGAGTTTACATATTAAAAAAGTGTGAAGATGACGTGTCATGACACGTAGGCTGGTCAAATAATCAAAGAGTTACAGTTAGCCAAGAGGCACGAGTAGTAATAGATGCGAGCAAAAGCAAAGGAAGAGGCACAGGCGGTTATTTAAAGGATTCAGCGCCCGTACCTATTCAAGAAATTTAAGTTTAATAATCAAGAAGAGTCAAGGGAATGAATCTGACAGCATACGAGGGTCCAAATACAGTATTTGATAAGCATTAAATGCTGAAAACGTTAGAGAATCTGTCTTAAATGTAATGATTATGTAATGTAGCATTCAATGTCATTTATTGCCCATAATAACCTTATTATGACCAAAGCAAGGCACTTACATCCGAAATAGCTATAAAAGGAGAGGACTGAACAGTTGTAGGGACACGAAAGATCATCTGAATATACTTTGGTTTACTTGTTTTGTTTAATTATATTCTGGCTATCCAAATTACTTTCGTTTATACATTCTTGCGATTATCAGCAACCAGTGTTCTTCTAAATTATAGCTTTAATCAAAATTCCATTGTTTGGTTAAACATATACACTCACGATGTAAACACCTGGCTAAAAGGTATGTTTAGGTCAATCAAAATTATGATGTGTCTGCCGGGAGTTGAACTCGGGTCTATTGCTTAGAAGGCAATTATGTCACGATCAAAATCTCACCTTAAGGATTATGATGGCACCTAATCTCTAAAACTAGGTAAGTCAATCACTTACAATATTTAAACCATTAAAACAAATTATTATGAAGCAGAATTTAATATAAATGAGAAATTTAAAGTGATACATGTCAACACGGCGATAATCACTACAAATCCCCAAGACTAGGAGTACAGAGTTACGAACTCTAACCGAATGCATAGAAATATTTCAAAATACAATACTATTCGGATAGAAATTGACAGTATAAATATAAAGGAAAGGATTCCAAGGGACTGCGACGATCAAGCAGCTCCATCTTGAATCCTCGCGATCAAGAAGGTAGCTATGTCTGGGTATGCTCACTTGTAACAACCCCTTTGAGAGGGTGCTACTAATTATCCTAACTGTTGGAGTAAAAACACTTGTTTTAGGTCAATCTATTTAATTGGTTATCTTGAGCAAATGGTAAATAATATGTTATAAGAGGTTAAAATACATAGATAGTGTAAAAAATTATTGTATAGTGCATATAACTTAATAAATCCTTTATTTTTATCAGCTTAAGGAATAAAAATAAAAGACAAAAAGGGCCAGAGCAATTGCACAATATCTGTATTGTTCCTACTAAGCATATATTTACATAAAAGTTTTTTTAAGGATCAATGGAATATCCAAAATGGATCTCAACACAGTACTCTTTAGTACTCATCTCATTCTCAGGGATTCTAATTTTTAAGACTCCCCGTTTTTGGTAGAAGAAAAACAAAGTTCGAGCGTATATAAAAGAAAAATAGCCTGCACTTCCAGGCCAGAATCGCAAAAACAAAATTAAAATTCAAAGTTAACATTTATAGGATGTGCAACGTAAAGGTCCAGCATCAGCAGTTAAAGAAGGAACCATAGATCCATCAGCCACAGGAAATGACTGAGCCTTTGAGTAATATGGATTAGTACTTCCATATCCAGATGGTATAAAATATGCTCCATTCATAAATTTATCCTTTGAAGACCTCCACTTCCAATTCTTCCACCCATTCTTTGCTTCCCTCTTCGTAACCTAAGAAAGTAAGAACACAACAATAATTAATATTCATGCATGATTATTAGTCTGTTATAGACGACCTTAATAAAGCCGATAATATATTAATTATTGATAGTATCAATGTTTATAAGAAAACAAAAGGTTAATATAGTTGACATGCATGGATTAATGGGAATATAGATAATTATCTAACTCACTTGTGTGGATTTATATGCCATGAAATAATTTCCTTCACTGAAGATGGTTGGATTTGCACTTCCACCAATAGCATACATTAACCATTTTTCGTACCGATTGTTGGCCACATGAGCATAACCTAGCCGCACTCTGCATGTACATATTTATCTTACGTGAGAAGTCGTAATCTTCAAATAAATAAATAAATATGTAGAGAAATCATATTTACCTAGGCATTCGTTCTATTAAACCAGGGCCAAAGTAGTTGAAGGCTACCGTCACTTTCATAATCTTGTCTTCTTTATTGTTGTCATTGTGCCCAAATAACATAACCTGCTCATCAGATTTCTTTCAGTATTAGTTAACCCCAAAAGAAAAGGGACAAATTGAAAATCACGGTTTACACTAACTAGCTTATTTAACTCGAATCGGATAGACATTTAATTTGCAGCTTAATAGTGCACCCTATCCATTCCTTAAGTGCAGATTCTAGTTATCTTTTAATCACGATTTCACCCACATTAATTAAACAGACTAAGTAGAAAAATTAATTTACACGTACTTTATCATGCTGAGTGAAGTAGTTGTTGGAGATGGTAACAGCAGTAGAAGCATGAATAACGTCAATAAGGCCATCGGTACAACGTGCAAGATAGCAGTGGTCGATCCAAACATGAGAAGATTGAAAAATATCAATGCCGTCTCCATCGGCGCCGCCACGTTGGCCGGCATGCACCGGACTATCCCGCACAATGCCCTTTTTACCAGGCTTACAATCATGGATGCTAATTCCATGTATAATCACATGGCTAACATGCGCAATTGTGATACAAGGTCCATATGCAATCTCCACTTTAGCTCCTCTTCCATCTATAGTCTTGTAACTATTGATCATAAGCTCATTCTTTAATGTTATAACCATGTTTTTGGCGAAAGTAATCCATAGTGGTTTGGATTGGATTACACCATATCTTAGTGTACCTGGTTTAGGGTTTACGGGGTCGTCCGATGGATTAGTAACGACATATATGGCACCGGATTTCCCTCCGATGGCAGCTTTGCCGTAGCCGACGGCGCAATCAGCCAATGCACGGCGGTTCCTGGCCCAATTTGATTTGGTACGCCAACAAGAATCAATCACATTCATAGTTTTTTTAGTAGTAGGTGCATAACTATAAGGAATAGGTGCATAATACTCGGCTTGTAAAGTTGATATACCCAAAAAAAGAAGAGTAAGTACAAGTGCTAAAGAAGCCATGATGATTAGGGAAATTAGAGGTTGAGCATACAAACTATGGGAATTGTTGATATTCGCATATATATATTAGGGTGTGACAAGGTGGTGGCCACGACGATAGAATATTGAGACTAATTCTTTTTGCAACATTTGGTCAGCATTTTCGCTAAGATTTTGGGGAGCATTAGTAGACGTGATAGCACGAGCTTTGGATGATTGACTTTTTGAGAGATTTAATTAGTCTTTTTCATTCTTTTAAAACGCTTAATTGGGATTTGACCTCTCTCTTAACTAGTAGTAATATTTGACTTAGAAGAATAAAGTTATTTTTAAATTCCTAATGTTCATTGAATACTGCTTAATTATTGTGCAATAATTTAAGACAACTTGTACGGAAAGAACCAGATTTGTCTTCCTTAGTTGCGGCAGTTTCAAGGATTTGTCTCCAGATTCAAATGAATTTTGGACGAATCAACATAAGATAAAAATTAAAAATTTGATTCGGAAATAAAAAGATAAAAAGTAATTTGAGATAACGTGGATCAAGCAGAAAAGCAAAAACCAATTGATAATTACATATTTGGAGTGTCTATCTTTGGAAAGTCTCTTGAACTAAAGTTCATTGCTGCATCTCAAAGGAACAGTTAATCAGCTTCTAGGAGATCATCACAGTTCAAATCACAGTATGTTGGTTCTTTATTTCAATTAAATATGTGAAAAATAAATATGTTCTAAAACTCCATGGCTGCCTATGTATATACTAGGAGCCTATTGGACTTTAGGAACATAATCATAGGAGCTAAGCGCGCTTTCTCTCTCTCTCTCTCTTTTATTTTTTTTGGTTTTCCTGACAATTATTCTCTTTGAAAGATCGCGTCAAAGCTAATTGGCATGTTAATATGGATTTTTCTAAGAGGTAAAAGGATAGAAAAAGAAGGTAAAATAAACCTACACACATCGGGTGTTTACACCAAACTATATTAATTTATCATGGTTAAATGATAAATTAAAGCAATAATGTGTATTAATTAGCTATGATTTAGTGATAAATATGTTTATGAAAATATGTAATATGTATTTATTGAGTTGATTTAAACACTGAGTGAGGATGATAGTGTCGCTTCCTATTTTAACTCCAACGCTTCAAATAAGGTTCTTAAGTGACGTGCCCAACATACTTGTGATATGTTCGTGGACCTAGTAAATGGAGGTGGAGTTTTGAAACTTCCTAGTCTGTCTGTTTTTAAACTAAAGTTTAACCAGACGTTGATTAAATTCTTATATATACTGATAATGATAATGATCCTCCAGTTGATTCTATGATGCTAAGTACTTCTTAGGATGTTATTTTATGAGAACATATGTGATCATATTTTCACCAATCTAAGCTAATGGAAGACGACTTCTCTGTCTTCGTACGTATAAGTACTATAGGCCATAAAGCTTGTAGCATATTAATCACATAGTAGCTTAATTATTTCTTCATATTTTACTTCATCCATAATTGTTTATCAACTATTGTTATTTCCTGGAAATAAGAAATCAAAGAAAAACAACTCGTTTATAATATATAATTTCTTTTTAAGAAATGAAACTGTGCTTAATTAATTTCATGCAATATTACAATATCAAAAGTGAAATGAGAAATACAAGAATGAAACAAAGAACTAATAATGTGGCATAGCCTTATTTGATACACAATAAAAGGAATGACTACTTATAATTAATCAGATACAAATAAAACATTAAATTCTAGAACCAAATAAATGATATAATCTTCCTAATTAATACTCTGAGTATACTCTAATTTGCATAGCTGCACATTCCATAGACACAAGCACTGCCTTTCTGGCACTTGTTATTGCAACCCCCACAATGCCTCTTGTGAAACAAAGTGTTAACACACTGCCCTTTACAACAAGTCTCATTATACCTGCATTTCTTCCCACAAAATCCACAATTTTGTTTGTCTGTGAACACATTTACACATTTCTTCTTGCAGCAGAATGGCCCCGGGCTGCCTTTGGCACGACATATTCTAGGGTTCTTGTTACAAGTCATTCGTTTTTGTATTGTTTTGGACTTATAATAAGGTGATTTTTGTGATAAAAAACGACTAGCCCCTCGAATGGATGATGAACTTTCATCAGTTTCATTTAAGGGGATATCAAATAATTCAGCCATTTCAGCTTCATTGTCATCTTTTAGGAGTATTTCTTCTTCTTTATCGACAGATGATGCTACTGAAAGTATACTGCTTGATGCCATTATCATGGCTAACAAAAAGAAAATTTTGAAATACGTGCTCATTGCTTCTTATGATGGGATGAAAAGAATGCAAATATCAAATATAGTGAAATGTTTGGATGGAAATTGGAGAAGAAGGAAAGAGTATATATAGAGGAAAAGATTTGCATAGAGGAACTATTTGACTCCTGTTAGTGGAGTGGTCTTTGTTCACGGCTATGTACAATACATAAAGTCAAATTAAATAGCTAACCAAAATTAGGCACTTCCATATAATACAATGTATTAGATTTCAGTAATATTTCTATATAGCTGCTATATTTTATAAAAGCCTCCGCATTTAGTTGACAATGTGAAAATAATCTACCTTGTAAGATAAGCAAATAACATTACGATTTCCTATCGTATTTAATTAATTAATCATGACTTAGTTTTGTTAAATCTATGTGAATGCCCGAAGCATTTTAGCAGTATTATTTAGGCAAGGTCTTAGTTTTGTTAAATCTATGTGAATGCCCGAAGCATTTTAGCAGTATTATTTAGGCAAGGTTTTGACGTGTGTTGACTTTTATATACTATACTCCATATAACAGGTACAGAAGCACTAAACTACCAAGTGTACATTCTATTTGACTTGCAATATAGTTCTAATATTGGAACTTAGGAGTTGACCCATTAATGTATCCAATTGTTTGAACTTCTACAATTGTCATAGGAACACATAAATTGACTTAACATTGTTTCCAAAGATTTATGGGCTGGCAAGGAATACACAATTCTACCACTCGAGAACTTGCCTGATCCCCAAGTTAACACTACCTTAGAAGGATTAATTAACTGTTCAAGCATATGTTATAACTTGTCTTTTTAGGTTACTAATTTACTTATCGTGGACAATTAATTATATTTCTCTTGTAAATGATTTGATAGTGTAAATTTTTTATTTACTCTATCATATCTATAAAAGTTAAACTCCTTGTTTACGTCTCCAATTTTCACAAGTTTTGTCTCAATGTCATTCGGTTGGAGAAAACTACCATTAATTGTTTGACCAAAAAGTATTAAGCTTTTTGTTAAACCAATTAATAAGAATATAGAGGATAAATCTTAGCCAAGGATAATTAACTCAATATTGAACATCAAAGCACATCGAATAGGAGAATAAGATATAATCAAGCTCATGAACTTTCAAGATTCATGAAAGATATCAAATATAAATAAAATGCTTACATTCATGATGTATTGTCCCGTAATGTAAAAATAAAGGAGGAACAGAGAGAATGCCATTAATAGTTGCAGGATCTATCGTTATTGATTCAAGAAAGACGATTATAAAGATTTGTCGCCAAGATCTACAACTTCTCGTATTTTTCTCCCATAGCCTTCTCTGGTTCTTCTGTCTTTTCCTTCACTAGGAGAGAGATCCCCCTTTCTTGTTATCTTCTTCCTATTTATATAGTAATTATTCCCTTTTACCCAACGGTTCTTAGCGAGAGGGCTTTTGTTTGTTCATAGTGCGTTGGGTCGTTCCCCTTAAATGTCACGACATATGCCTCGCCGTACAAGCTTTTTGATAGTTCGATCTCGGCAGAGGCCGAGATACTTGTTGTTATGACGTCTTATGAGTACGACAATGGCTCAAATGACTCCTCGCCATTCCTTTTAATACTGATCCACGCATGGTCAGATTTCGACCCATACAGTTAGTCCCTCCGCCTATTGAGGTCGCCTCTTGGCGAGCTCGATGGGTGGACTCTGTTGATTTGAGAAGGAGAGATCTGAACGCGTTGTGCGAGAGACGAGCACCTCATGGAGAGGTAGCAACGTGACGTTTCTAGAGCTGCATCAGACCGTTACGTCATTTTAGAATGTCATTAATATTTCTCATGCGTCATTATGGCGCACGTTCCTTTTGCTTCGCATCGTTTCCCGTGCCCTTTCAGTTTTCTAACTGACGGTGCTTGGTTTTCCTGCTCAGGGCATTTATATCCCTATAAATAGGGGTGAATCCCTCATTTGAATGTTACGTTTCTTAATCGTTCAAGAGAGAACTTTGCAACCCTTCTTCTCCAGTTTCTTAAATTTCTGTTTCCGTTAGGATTTGCTGTGTCCACCACCCTTTTCCCTTATCATTCTGATTTCTTTCGGTCAAAGAGAAAATGGCTAGTGTTTCTTCTAACTCCGATTGAGCTGGTGGTGCTCCGGTGCCGGAAAGTGATGCACCTCTAATCGAAGAGGGGGTGGAGATAGTGGAGGGTGTGGGCTTTCCGACGGTGGATGAGGTGGTCCCCCGCCCGGGGAAGGCAAGAACCGACTTTAATAGCCCTGCTGGAGACGAGCCGGAGCCCATTCCTTCCATGATGGACGCTACGGCGCTCACGGTGTTCAAAGCCAAATGGGGGATCCCTGATCATATTGAAATGGTACCGGCGAATAAGGACATAGTGCACTTACACCGCCCGGGCTACTACACGTTTTATACGTATCCCTTTGTCATTGGTACACGCTTCCCCTTCCTTCCTTGGTGGTGGATTTCTACTGCTTCTATGAGGTGTGCCCGGCTCAACTCTCTCCATACGCGTACAAAATTTTCCTTATGCTCATCAAGTATGCGTAGCTGGCCGGCCGAGGAATCTCTCTAGGACATATGTTTCATCTCTTCGCTCCCCATTTTCTTTGGGGTACAATGATTCACATGCGTCACCGAGGAACCAAGAATTTGGTGGTGAAAATGGACGACAAGGCAAATCGTCGCTTTTGGGAGAGCTTCTTCTACATCCGAACAGAGCACGTCGTATCGAACCCGGCGGGGTTTCCTGAGACATGGAATTTCGCCCGTAGGTTTTATTTCTTTTTTACTTTATGCATTTTCTCTTAAGATGGTCGTCTATCTTTAATGACCTTGTTGAGAGTTTATTTATGTTCTTGTAGCCGAGAGAGTACCTCCTCCGCTAGTTGTTGATATTCGCGAGTGGGTGAGCGCGATTCTTCCCCATACGGTGGGGATTCGTGCATGGGCGTCTTTCCATGAGAGGTTCGGGCGCAAACCTCTTGTTGGTGAGTTGGTGAGTTGTGGTCCGTTACTTTGTTCTTTGCTCCGTATTCTCTTTTACCTTATCTTGCTTGATTAAATCTCTTCTCATTGGTAGGTCGGAGAGGAGTGAGAAGGGCGAGGGCTCCTGCGCTCACTTTTCGCCAACCGGCTTCCTCTACCCGACCCGTTCAAAAGGCACCTACGGATGAGAGCACCCAACGCGTGGTTGCACGGCAGACCACGTCGGCGATCGTGCCTGTTCGTTTGGAGGTTGCTCCCCGGTCAAATACTCCGATTCTTGTCGTTCGATCAACGGGCGAGCCTTCTCGTAACATTAGCAAAGAGGCACCGTCAATGAGGCGGAGGTTGTCAGAGGGGGCGTCTTTTGTTGAGACGTCCTTGAGGGGCGACCCTACTTTGGCGGTATCTGGAGCTGGCGGTGACACCGGCTGGGGTGCAGAGACGACGCCTGTTCCGGTTCCGGAGGAGACCACTGTGGTAGGGGAACATAATTCGGGGCTGCCGCGGTTGTTCCGAGCGGCCCATCGCCATCTCGACATAATCGCGCCCCTTCTTCGGCTAATGAGAGGGGGAGGGGCGTGGTTGTGGATGATTATGGATCGGATTCAGACATCGACCCTGAGGATATGAGGATGTTCAAGGAAGGCTTTACCAGGTTCAATGTAATGGCGGAAGGTCCTTCTCGTGTGCTCGAGATTCCATCGGATTTTGACCTTTTGAAGGACACGTTGGAGTTGGTGCCTCAATTCGACGTTCTATATTCTGCCGCCGAAAGTGAGTCTCTTCGGGAGATCAATGATTCTGCTTTGTCACAAGGTGTGGCCGGGATGGCCTTGAGGGTGAGTTTCTTTTTTCCATTTTCTTTATTTAGTGTTATTTTGTCTTCGATGATGCCTCCCCTCTTTTTCTTCCCGCTCCTTGTTTGCAGACTTACATGTTGGAGATTGAGAGTGCTCGCAGGGCTGAGACTAGGAACGAAGTCTTTTTGAAAATGGCCGTGAAGTATCGCAAGTATCGCGACAAGTGCCGTGAGATGCATGCTAGCTTAGGGCGGGCGGTAACACTCAGTCTGTTAGGGAAGAGTTAGAGAAAAGGGACGAGGAACTGATGCGGTCTATCCGCAGATGCAGCGAGCTTGGGGAGTTACTCCATGCCAAAAACGAGGAGCTCGAAGTGGGCAAAGGGGTTGCGGCGGAATGTGAAGACCTTCAGGCGAAGGTGCGGTCTCTCCAAGCCGAGCTTGATCAAAATTGCCACCAGGGTCGCCGATTTAAGTGCAGAATGGACAGAGAAGGTGGCCGAGCTAGAAAAGAAGGTGACCGAGTAGGAGAGGTCGAGGGGGCTCGGGTGTCGGCTATAGCGAGGGCGGCAGCACTGGAAGACACTATCCGCGTCCTTAGGTCCGAGCAAGAATCTGAGAGGGCAACGGCCACACTGAGGGAGGCGCGACTCGAGGAGCGTATTGGTGAAATTGATAGGGAAGATTCGAGCTTGGGATACCGGGTCGTGGCTTTTGAGACCGAGAAGGCGCAACTGTTGGCCTAGGATATCCCTCAAGAATCCGCCTTTGCTACTGTCCCCCGCCGTTCGTATGAGCTATGGGTCCATGCTGAGGCCCAACGATATATATACAAGGGTTTGTGGGAGGCGGGAGTTTTCCTGAAGCCGCTTTCAAAGATGCTCGGGCGAAGGCGTGCGAGGCTCGTCTTGCCTGCGGTTACGACCCTGCGACACCGGAGGCCGGTGAGGATGCTGAGATCGAAGATGGACTTCCTTCTGACGGTGATGTTGGGGAGAACGACGGTGGAGATGATGCCGAATGAAAAAATTTCTTGCAGCTTTTGTACTTAGTCTTTTTTTTTTGTTGATGTTTGTTTTCACATTTTTCTTGGGGGCCCGCTTTTGGCCCTTTGTAAGGCGCAGCTGCTGCGTATGTACATTTTATGAATAAAATAGTCGCTTTGCCTTGGGTTATGTATCTTTTGAATTTCTTTCTCCCTTCTCCCCCCTTTTTTTTCCTTGAAAAAGATCTTCGGACTTCCCCGCAATGAGTCCTTGATTTTTACTTGGGGGTTGGAATGAGGTCGAGCTTAGAGCGATTCGAGCGAGATCGAATGTGAAGTAATTCGGGCGAGGTTGAATGTGAATTAATTCGAGCGAGGTCGAATGTAAAGTATTTCGAGCGAGGCCGAATGTAAAGTAATTCGAGCAAGGTCGAGTGTGAATTAATTCGAGTGAGGTTGACTTCTGATTTGCCATTTTGGGCGAAATCAGTTTTGACTTATATATTCGAGCGGGGTCGAATTTTGCTTTCGCCTAGTGCTGTCAATAAGGGTGTTAAGTCGAGCGAGGTCGAAATGTTTCCCGTCGGGCAATGGCCGCAAGGGTGTTAATTCGAGCGAGATCGAGTTGTAACCCATTGGGCGATGGCTGATGGTCGTAAGGTGTTAATTCGATCGAGGTCGAATTGTAACCCATTTGGCGATGGCCTATGGCCGTGAGGGTGTTAAATTGAACGAGGTCGAATTGTAACCCGTTTTGAGTTTGAGCGTAGTCGAATTTTCCTTTTACTTGGCGATGGTGCGTGTTTGCCTGATGCCTCACTTTTATTGGAGAACATCACTCATTACTGCATTGTTTATGCGTGGGTTGGGGTGAGTCCTGGTTTGTTTACTTTCGCTTTCATTGGAGAATTTTGTGCGTCGGGATGAATCCCGGTTTGTTTAATTTTGCTTTCATTAGAGAATATTGCGCGTTGTTGCATTGTGTATGCGTTGGTGGAGTCCCAGTTTACCTAGTCCTTTCTTTGCTCGACCCGGAGAGGCCGTGATCGGGACGAACGACGAACTCATATGCTTGGTCTTCTGGGTACCCTGGAACCAAACGAAGTTCAGACGTGATTCGCAATATTTAGTCGGCTAAATTGGTGTAAGATTGTCATGGCGAATATACATGCAAGATTTTCGAGTTCAAGTTCTATTTGTGTCGGAGGGACGGTAGTTCCACGGGCTCATCGCTTAGTCCCAGCTCATGGAGATTTTCTTTAATAATACTAGCTGGTTTTTCCGTCGTTTGTGTGTTATTTGCCGTACGGTATGGTGAGGATGGTTTTGCTTGGTGCGTTCGGTGGTGTTTGTTCCTTATTCGCTTACCTGCGAGAATGCTTGTATTCCTTGCCCATTCCATTAAGATAAAAACGACAAGTTAGATCCAAACGAAATTGCATGTTACCTTGACCTGGTAAGTCGGTGAAGGGGGAAGTGCGTCGTAGGGCTGCTTGCTTCATCCCGTGCTCGAATGGCGACTTCGAATTTGGTAGCCGTGTTGGCTTTGACGTTAGTCGCGTCTAGGATTCTCGTGGGTTGAATCTACTTTGCCCGTGGGGATCCCGAAACCGAGTCCCAGTCCAATCCCGTCCGATATGTGCAAACAATAAGAGAAACATGTCATATCTGTTCATACATTACATAGTGCGTATGGGTACGAAAATAAGGCAGGACACACCCGTTATTTCAAAGAATCACATAGAGGCTATCATCCCTTCCCTAGAGGTGTGAATACAGGTCGGTATTTAAATTAGATACAACAAGTAGGATTGCGGGCGTGCTAAGTGCGTAGTGGCCGTAATCCCACTTTGAGTACTCACGCGACGTGCCGAACCCATCACTGCAGCCGAGGCGTGGGTTTTGCTTAGACATCAGACCTAATTTCGATTTCATGTAGAGATCTGACCCAGATTGGTTTGGTTATCTCAAAAGCTTATCTATCACTTTTTCGAGTTGGTGTTTATACTGAGATGGTGTGGTTATGACAGCCGGGAAGTGACACTTTGGCTAGTTTTAGATCTAGAGGAAACTAAAATTTTGGCTAAGAAATCTCCATAGACGGCGCCAAATTATTTGACCAAAAAGTACTAAGCTTTTCGTTAAACTAATTAATAAGAATATAGAGGATAAATCTTAGCCAAGGATAATTAACTCTAGATTGAACATCAAAGTGCATCGAATAGGAGAATAAGATATAATCAAGCTCATGAACTTTCAAGATTCATGAAAGATATCAAATATAAATAAAATGCTTACATTCATGATGTATTGTCCCGTAATGTAAAAATAAAGGAGGAACAGAGAGAATGCCATTAATAGTTGCAGGATCTATCGTTATTGATTCAAGAAAGACGATTATAAAGATTTGTCGCCAAGATCTACAACTTCTCGTGTTTTTCTCCCATAGCCTTCTCTGGTTCTTCTGTCTTTTCCTTCTCTAGGAGAGAGATCCCCCTTTCTTGTTGTCTTCTTCCTATTTATATAGTAATTATTCCTTTTTACCCAACGGTTCTTAACCAGAGGGCTTTTGTCTATTCATAGTGCATTGGGCCGTTCACCATAAATGTCACGACATATGCCTCGCCGTACAAGCTTTTAGATAGTTCTATCTCGACAACGGCCGAGATACTCGTCGTTATGACATCTTATGAGTACGACCATGGCTCAGTTGACTCCTCGCCATTCTCGCCATTCCTTTTACTGTTGATCCACACGTGGTCAGGTTTCGATCCATACATTAATCATATCCATGTTGCATTAATTGCTTTCTTGTGAGAATTGTGAGTACCTTAGTAATTAGACAAAAGTTAAAGTTCCATATCAATAACCATTATACGTTTTCTTCGGAAGTAGTATTTTGTAATCCTTATACTTGATATTTTTTATATTTTTTTTTGCGTATCCTTATACTGAAGTTGAAAATTAATTTCATTCATTGGAAATGTCTTTAACCGTGAGTCGTTTCTGAGTAAGAATTTCGCAGGAAAGTTTTTAGTAGTATCAATTATGGTAAAAAATAAGCTATATGGGCACTCTCTTCAAAATAAAAATTCTTTCAATAATTCTATAATGTAAGTACATCCAGTAGGATATGAGGACCGCAATAGAACATAACTATAACCTTATATGCCTAATAGGCATTTATTTGTTCAGACAAATTATTATTGTCTAAACATAAAAATATAATTATACTAATTAATGGCATATATAGCTAAAGTAACTATTATGCTTTCAAATCCCACAGTGCCCTGCGTATTTTTTTCCAAACAAAGTCTTAACGCAGAAGCCTCTGCAGCAAATCTCATTGAAGTTGCACTTCTTCCCACAAAAACCACAGTTTTCTTTGTCCATTAAAAAGTTCATGCACTTATTCTTGCAACAGAAGGGGCCTGGACTACCCTTGGCAAGGCATATTTTAGGGTTCTTGCTGCATGTAAATTTGCTTCCAAATATTCTCTCATGAATTCTCCAGAAATGAAAGTTTTCCTTAGCAACAGAATTACCTGCTGTTCCTCGAAGTGTTGTTTTATGTGTATCTTTTTTACCTAAGCTAATTGGATCAGCTTTCACTGCTTCATCAGCCATATTGTTATTGTCTGCTTCTTCTTTCATTAGCATTGTTTGCTCTTGAATTGATGCTGAAAGGGTGGCAGCAAATGCCATGAAAATGGCAAGAAAAACGAAGATAGCTAAGTTCTTCATTATGGGAATTAGTGAAACTTTTTAACTTACCTTAATTAGTAATTAGGGAAGTATGAGAAGATTGGATGGGTTGTGGAGAAGAAGGTGAATGGTATTTATAGATAAACTTTTGCATGGAGTTATTGAATGTATTAAGGTTCTTGATTAATTATGAAAAAGCACGACCAACATTCTTTGGATGGAAAGATTGTGACTCACCAAAAAAAGCAAAACTGGTAGAAATGTAGAATGTAGCGAAGAAGTGATTGATAGACAATATATGTTGGTTTTCCGTATTAAAAAGTCACCATTTTAACTACAAAGTTAACTATAATTCACCAGAACATTTAAAAAGTAGTTGAAACGAGAAAGTAACAATGAAATATTATACCCTACAATACTGTGATCATTAGTCAAATCAATATCATGTGATTACTTGGTTTTATTCAGTGTTTCTGCCTCATTTTTTTTTAATTTGTGTTGGCAGAAATTTAATTTTAGACAATTCGTGAACAGAGATACAGTCCGCTCAGAACTTTGTAAAATTTAGTATTATAATCTTTCCACTGCCAGTGGCCTTTCTAGATTAGACAGGATATCATGTATCTTTTCAGACTTAAATACTCTAAATCACAACATAAATGAGGATGCATACATAAATTTTTTCAATAGAAAAGCTTTGGATTGGGTACACACGTACGTGTATCTGTCCCTTCTTCATGTAATGCTTTTGTTATACAATATGAATAGAGATCTTTCTAACCCTTCGCTACATATAATGCGATTTTATGTATTTAAAAGTGATATGTCTAATCTTCTGCACATAAGGCAGTTTTATTAAAAAATTGCATTTTGAGTTGTTACTCCATATTACAGATCCATTAAAACTTAATTTGTTTTCTGGGAATCAAAATATGGACACTATTATCAGCTTCGGACAAGAACACACTGTATAATAACTCTGCTGTATATTGTGAACTCAAAGCACAAACAATTATCTTTCTTCTTCTAGTAATATTTTATTTCAAGGAATAAGCATATAACTTCATCTATATGAGAACTAAATTTATATGTGGCTACACCACGTAATACAACTTAAAATATATATTTACCATACACACACAAGTTTTCCTAACTAGCCACCAATTGCAAATTTGCAACATAATTAAGCAGCAAGTGAATCTGCTAGTTGTTTAATTAATTAATTAGCTCTCTCTAAGCATAGTTGCACATTCCATAAGAACAGGAGCTTCCTTTCTTGCATGCATTGTTACACTTTCCACAGTGCCTCTTGTTGAAATATGTATTCACACACCATCCTTCACAGCACATTTCTGAATACCTACACTTCTTACCACATCTGCCACAATTAAATCTATCAGTCATAACATTCACACATGTTTTTCTGCAGCAATCTGGTCCAGGACTGCTCTTGGCAGAACAAACTCTAGGGTATTTGTCACATGTGTACATGTTATGACGAGGAGAAGAGCCCTTTCCTCTTTGATATGTTGCATCAAATCTTCCAAGAACTGATTCTTGGCTAGACATTGAAGGAAAGAGAGTAATGGTCATGGCAATTGAAACTAGGAGAACAAGTAGGAACCTGAACGACTTCATTTTTTGAGGCTAGGGGTTTAATTTGTAGATTTTTTTTACTAGCTAGCTCTATGTGAAGATGGAGGATTATATAATAATGTGGTATTTATAGAGAGGATTATGTAGAAATTTGTAAATGGTGGTCTCTATCATAGTCGTTACAGAAAATATAAGTCATGGAAGTTTGGCTAAAGAAGGAACGAAATTAATGTGCACAAAACTTGACATATTTTTCAAGAATAAGGAATAAGGAGATGAACCTTAAAATTGTACGGCAGCTATGACTAGGAGAGACTTTCTCCTATCGTTTAAAACTTAAAATCATAAATAATGAGAGTTTTTGGTAAGTTAAAGTGTAAAATAATCATAATTACATGCTACATGTTTAAAATTGAAGTTTGATATCGATTTTAGTTCATTGATTGATTAATTAATTAATACTGTTGACACCACATAAAAAGAATCCCTTATTCCAAAATAGACTTGTGGTGCAAGTGAAATAATAAGCTATTAACAGTGAGCCTTTTCTTAATTGGTCGCTACATGTAGTAATTATTCCTGTCCGAATTTCAAACCTTCAAATAAACTTGTTGATGGTAGTTTAAAACTTTAAAGTGATGTTGTTTGGTTGAAGCAACGGTAACGTTGAGCCCGGCGCAATATGTTCTAATTCTACACCTGCTAAATATGAGTTGTACTCTCTTAATTTTGGACAATCTTCATTATTGATTAAGCTTTTAAAGTTGAGTTACATACAAAATCTACTTTAATAAGTGTAATATTTGGAAACCTCGTTCTTGGTGTTGAGTTATACGGTTGCCTCGTATGACTTGTATAAATGCTTTTTAAAGGCCCGTTTGGTACGAGGGATAAGGAATAATTAATTTCGAAATTAAATTTGATGATGAGTTTATCTCATGTTTGGTTGGGATAAAATCTCGATATAAGTAATCTCAGAATTTTAGTATTATATTCTTATACCTATGTGAGAATGGGATAATAATTCCGAGATAATTAATTTCAGGATAATAAATTATTTTCCAACCAACCGACCCTAAGAGCTTATAAAGATCTTGAATTATACTCATCTACCACTGATATCTTTAAGAGTTTGAGTTAGATGCTCAAATTCTATCACACGTTGCAAACTTGCAATTTCATTTCCATTGCATAATGCCCCCTTCCTCTGTTTACTGCACCTTTCTCTAACTATTCACGAGTTCACCCACCAGAATCATTATAGTAAGAAAGAACAACAAAAAAAGTGATGATCTCAATGCAACTTTGACGGTATAAACGTATAATAAACAACATTATCAAGACATTCGATCCATATGAAATGAAAAAACATAAGGAGAAAGAGTTGGTTTCTTTCTTTTATTTCCTTTTTTTTTCTTCTGGTTATTGCCTTTCTTGTATAATTTCTATTGTGGTCGTGATTAATTAAAAGTATTTTACAAGACGCCTAATTAAAACCACTAATAGGAATTTGACAAGACAATGGCGTGATATCTAGAATTATAGGGGTATTAGATGAATATGAAACACCAAACAAGTAGTCAAATTCCCTTTCCAGAATTTGCACCTTATTTCGTCTGACAAAAATGAGAGTTTTTGTTTTCCAATTTATCAGTTACATGTGCACTTATAATATGCAGACTTTTAGAGTAACACGTTCATCTTTGCCTTCAGGCCCTTGTGCTGAAATGCTTGTCAATTTGCTCGGCTATATTTGGATGATACCAACTTTATCTTTATTTTTCAATTGATTTGATTGTGACACACTAACAAAACTATTTACACCCCTTGACTTTGGGGCATTTGCATCTATATCCATTTTTTGGGTCACGTTTTAACTTATACCCGCTTTGCAAAAAAAATTACAAGCATACTTACTTTTCGCGTAACTTCGGGCATACGGGCCTGAAGTAGCAAAGGCAATCACCCAAACTTCAGTATTCTAGTAAACGGGCCTGAAGTAGCAAAAATTGCTGAACCAAGTGTTGGCTGAAGTTTTTGTTTGTAATTGCTGAACTTAAGCATTCTAGTAGCTGAAGTTTTGTTCTCTATTTGCTGAACTTCAGCATGTTTTAGCTGAAGTTTTGTTCTATATTTGCTGAACTTCATCATGTTTTAGCTGAAGCTTTGTTATGTTTGTGATGAACTTCAGGGTTGAAGTTTGTTTTGTAGTTGCTGAAGTTCAGCATTCTAGGAGCTGAAGTTTTTGTTTATATTTGCTAAACTTCAGCATTCTTAGAGCTAAAGTTCTAAAACAACAATGACAAGTTGTCATTAAGATCCAGTTGCTATAATAAAATTATCAGGAAATTCAACATTAAGAAGAACCATCTTTAATTCTTTTTTGGGTGAATGAAATTTCAGATGTACTTAACACAAAATTCGTACCTTAGTGCTAAATCACTGTGTATTTCATATTCAATCAATAATACTTACACAGAGTCTCATGTGTTTGAGAGAGAAAAAAAGAAGAAGGGGAGGAAAAGAAAGGAGGAAGAAAGGAGCGCACATGTGGCAGGAAGAAGGAGACGCCTAAAGTTGTAAAAATTAGAATATAGACTAAATAATTTTAAAAATATAGGTATAGGTTAAATGGGAGCGACCAAATAGGACGCTTGTGCAATTTTTAGCTTGACTTAAATCTCGTTGCTGTTATTCATAGTTCTTCTAAAGTAAATTTAAATGTCTAAACTCTTTTCGAAAAAATTCATATTTAATGCAAGGTAAAACATAAATACAAAATTTCCTTTCCCCGAGATAAAGGATCAACATTGACACTAGGAAGTCGGAAGAAGAAAACAAAAAATTCTCCTTTTCTTTTTTCTTTTCATTTTAAAGCTTAGAAGTACCAAATCAAATGGATTAAGGTGTTAAAATTGCCCATATACTATTTGAGTTGAGATTTTTTGTTACACTAGTTTTAGTATATGTGCGTTGCACGTGCATGCAATATCAGTCAATTAAAACTTGTATACGAGAAAATTGATTATGTAAAATATCAAATGACATTAAAATAAGATTCTTAAAATAACAATAACTTTAATGACAAAAATAAACACGATCAAATAAGTGTAGTATGGGTATTTTCTGAACTTGCAAAGATAATAAATAATTGAGTTAATTTACTTTTATATTATTTATAATTATAGGTACTTTATTATATGAGATAATAATACGTTAGTATATTGTTGAATCTAACCTAATCTCTCTTTCATAGATGATGTTGTTGGTCCTAAAAAGTTAAATTATTTATTTAGTGATATAACAAAAATAATGACTCTATAGTTTAATCATTGACGCGTTTACTTTATAATAATGAGAATAAATTACCAAGAACATTTAATAAAAAAAACTATGAAAAATATTTCTTAAGCTAATCAACAAGACCTATTTTTATAAGTTATAGAATTTAAGCTTGAATCTGTTTAAACAAAAGCTTGAATATTGAATTTACCTTTTATGTTTACACGATACAAATAAATTAAAAATCTCAAAAGTTTAATGAAAAAGGACAAACACCTCTAATTTGAAGGAATTAAAAGAAATCCTAAAAACGGAGAAGGACTATGAATTCATATAGGATACCTATAGGGATTTATGTTAACAAATGCTAAAAATATGGAAGCGTATGCCTATAAGATTCAATGACAATGCTTTTGTGTCTCTTAGTAACAAAAAAAAAAAAAAGGAATTATGAATAAAACATGTAAGAATTTTAGTCATCTTACATTATATACTTAATGAGGGGCTTTATAAAAACTAAAATTTTAATAAATTTAAAGTCCTAAATATTTGGAATATATACATATTCCTAAACCTAAAAGGAGGTAAAATTGCTTGAGAATTTTACCCCCAATAAATATTCCTAAACCTAAGGTGCACGAAAAGTTTACCTAAAATATTTATAGAGAATTAATGATTATTTTACCTAACATAATCATAAAGAATTATTAAAAGAAATATTCCTAAATCTCAAACAAATTTTCAATTTCTTTTTATAACTTAGAACCAAAAAGACTCCTAAACCTAGAAAAGGAACTGAAAATGCTTAAAACTTTTACCTAGATTACCTAGTTTTTTAATATATAATTAATTGTTGAAGTTTATGACCAAAAAAGTACCCTCAAAGACGTAAAAGTGCTTCAAACTTTATGTAAACGATTTTTTTGAAGCACTTTACAAAATATTTTGATTTTTCTTTTACAAATTATTATGTTACATAGTTGAAATAAGGAAGATTTTGATACATAAAATCTAGTTGACGTTGAATTCGTAAATATTAGGAAATATTAAATGACTATTCATATTACCAATATTAGAGAAATAACCAAATGACTATTTTGCCTAGTGTGAACTTTATTTTTAAAGGGTAAAAAAGGCGTGCACATTTTAATATAGTATAGATATAGATATAGATAGATTAATCTTTTGGTATACTAGAAAAAAGTTTTATTTTTCCCTTAGAACTGGGCTCCAATTTAATTAAGTAATTCTAAATTATAATAAAATTTGGAGGAATAAACTTAAGTTTTTTTTTAAAATTAAACATATTGGACAAACATCAAGATTTAATGGACCTAAAAATATACTATTAGTAAAATTGAATAATTTCAAATGGTGCGAGTATAAATTTGACCTTTTTTCACTAAAATATATGTAAAAGCACATATATATATATATGATTGAAAACTTAAAATGTATATTTCGGCGAATTGTGTATTACTCACTCGTTCACCTTTACTTATCTATTATACTAAAAATATATTTTTATTTTATTTATCCACCGTATTAAATTAATAGAAAGATAAATATTTCTACTCTTATCTTAATTACTCATTACTCAAATCATTTGCAAAGGACTTTTTGTAAATGTAAAATTGTAAAATACATAGTTCGGTTTGAACGAGTTAGTAAAAGCCACTATTAAATTTCGAACCAAGATGAACAATCTAGAAAAATCTGTGGAAGAGGAGAAGAGGAAAAACGAGGAAGAAGATTCATCTAGTGCAGTGCAGGCGACGGACCCGTCAGATTCAGGAATGGCTGCTGCTTCCGCCACCGACGGTGTCGCTGCGACGGCACTACGATCGGTACTTCATCGGATTCAACACGCCGCTGAACGCTCTGGCCGCAGATCGGACCAAGTACGGCTGGTGGCTGTAAGCAAGACGAAGCCGGTGTCTCTTGTCAAACAAGTTTACGACGCCGGTCACCGTTCCTTCGGTGAAAATTATGTCCAAGAGCTCGTTGATAAGGCTCCTCAGGTAAAGGTTCTATGCTCGTGTGTGATTGCCTCTACATAATTTAAGCCCGTGTTTATATGATTGATTGGTTTCCCTGATTTAATTGTTCTAGTTTGACTATAGGAATCACCCTATTGAGGTTTATTTCAGTCCAATACTATAATAATTTACGAAAATTAGGGGTTCTCTAAATCTAATCCTGCACCGCTAACTAGTTTTATCTCAATTAACTGGTATCTCGTGTGGGAATATTTTGCTTCCATTGTGTTCTTTTTTAGCTAAGTATGGATAAATTGTAAGAGATTTTAGATTTTTGGACCAACTGCCCTTCATATGGTTTTAGGTCTTATCGAGGAAAGTGGTTGGGTTTAAAATTAAATCTTTGTCTGTTTGTTGTTTGGGATACTCTGTATGTATAGGATCATGAAGCTTTTGACCAGTAGCTTCGATTAGGGGCAGATGTAGCATATACTCGGCGGGTTCAATTGAACACATAACTTTCGATGCGGAGTAAAAATTTATATGTAAAAATTCATTAAAATTGAAAAATAGTAGATATGAACCCATAACCTTTAAAATATAATGGGTTCAATACTAAAAAATTTAAAAGTCGAACCCATAGGGTTTAAATCCTCGATTCGCCTCTGGCTTTGATTTTCTTTCTGAATGTCACCAAGAGATGTTTGCCTTGATAGTTTTGTAATTGCTCGATCTTGCTCATGCATATTGTCCAATGGACCTTACTGATTTGTCCCTTGAGCAAGTCACATTCGCCTAAGGTGTCATATGCACTCCTTCAAAAGCTCGCTAGCTGAGAACTCCGCCAACTATCCCAACAAAAAGATATTACTCCATCAAAGGGGTACTTGAATCTAACGAAGAAATGACTTTTAGAATATTGCCTATATTGCCAAAGCTAGAGAGAAAAGTGGCTATTTGGTTCTTTCTCAGGATGGTATTCAACACAAAGAGTGGCCTTTATTTATAGAAGTGCATGCCCACATTAAATGTCGTGATGCATCGTGAAGATGATGCATCACAGGACTTTGGGGTCATGATGTGTCACATAACTTTGGGGGCCTGATGCCGTCGTGAAGAGGAGCATGACACGCCACAACCTTGATGTGTCGTGAAGTGGTCGCGAGTCGTCGTGAAGAGAATGACGCGTCGCAACCATCTTGTTTTTTCCCCTTTATTTGCTTTATTCATGGTATTTTTTTTCCCTGCAAAACATTGTTAGAATTATACAGGGAATTGATATATTATATAAATTCTTTATTTAAATAGTGTATTAAGTATATAATATGAACATCTTTTATTCATCCGAGAGATAGTATTTTTTTCATAAGTTGGTTGTATTTGTAATGTGGGCCATTGTAATTTTCTGTGGGGAACAATGTGAAGTATTGTGTTTCAGATGAGGTGTTTATACTGCTTTCGTTTGGTAAATTGCAGCTTCCAGATGATATAGAGTGGCATTTCATAGGGAATTTGCAGAGCAATAAAGTCAAGCCACTATTAAGTATGTTCTCTTTTCTTCCTTCACTATTCCTTCTCCTATCCTTTTCCCTACGGACCAGTAAGGTGAAATATACATTTCTATGAAAATATGTTGAGGATGAAGCAGGAAATCATACAAAATTGTGATTACTGGACAAGTTTTGTAAGAGAAATAAGGGAAAGATATCCTTTCCTTTGGCATGCTGTTGGAGGGCAGGGTTGCTTCAAGAGTTGTAAACTTTGTCTCGGTGAATACTAACATGCTTGCTTCATCAAATTTTGGTTACATTAAGTACTGCAAATATTTCAAAAAGCATTAGAGGTCATGAAACATTTTGCCTACACTTGCATCAGTTAGACAAGTGAACATTTTGCCTTCACTTACGTCAGTCAGACAAGTGGACAATAAGTTTCTATCTCCTTTCTGATTTAGCATGCATGGCATAATAATGGTAATGAAGAGTTTGAGTCATTCTTTTGTGCAACTGGAATAGAGCTTATAATCAATCTCCTCATCTTTGTTTTTTTCAGCTGGAGTGCCAAATCTTGCTATGGTGGAGACTGTAGATGATGAAAAGGTAATTGACACATACTCCACTAGTAGTTTATCTCCTCTAAATAGTCTACAGGTTAACCAATACTTCCACCTCGAAATATTATTTTATGCAGTTTCATTGAACATAAGAGCTAGAAGCTATCTTACTCATATTATATCAGCTGTAGTAAGAAGGAAATAAAACCAGTTTTAGTAAGATGAAAATTGGGATGTTAAGTGAATTTGAATTTCGGGAACTTGTGGAGTTGTTCTTAAATATGTATGGATTTCAAAGTTCTCTGTCCATGCCTGAAAAGCTATCTAAAGTTGTTCACATCTAGTATGAGCGAGCAAAGGGAAAAACAAATATTTAACCAGTGTTATTAAAAGCCATCGCTTTGTTTTTTAAAGCGATGAAGCAACGCGAAAGTAAGATGTTGTAGAGTCACAGTGAAGCTATGCGCTTTAGAGAAGTGTTCACTTCAAAGAGTGGTACGGAAAGTGAATTTAAGGAGAATTGATTGCTTCTTTGAATCTCAACTTTGTGGAGTTGATTTAATATCTACATTATTGTATATTAGATGTAAAATTAGCTATTTTAATTGGAGTTAATTTTATTGTACTAACTTCTTAGATATTTGATATTTTTAATGTCTTGTAAATTGCACGCACATTTCACGTTTTCCGCTGCAAGGCCTATGGACCTTGTCGTTTTTTGCGCATTTCGCTTTTGAAAATACTAAATATAAGAATATCCTTCTGATAGGAAGTGGAGTAGGGGGGAGTTTATTGTCGGCTTCATTTCATTAAGTTTCTCGGACGTGTTTTAAGGAATAAATTGATAACAATTTGTTTCTTTAACCTGTTTCTTTATTATACCTCTTTGAGTCTGCGTAATTTCTTTTTTTTTAATTTTTTATTTAAAATAAGGCGCTTTGAGTATGTAAATGGAACACAACCAAGCAATGATAAGAAGCCCAGCCTATGTTCCCGTCTATTCTTTCTTTCCGCATCGGTGATAGGTTCCTTCTTTCGTCGTTTTATTTCCTACATTCTTCATCTCGATAAACATTTTCTGCACTCCTTGCGAAGCTTCCCCAGCCCATCTGTCTTCGCAAATGTGGCCTGTGATGATCGCAATTGCGATCCTGAACTTTGCAATTGCGAAGGTCCCCTTCCAGCTCTACTGCTCGCAAATGCGATGCTTCTTCGCAAATGTGAAGTCTGCAAACCTGAAGCACACCAGCTACGATTTCTAAGTTCAATTCACTCCGTAGCCTATCCGAAACTCACCTGAGCCCTCGGGGTTCCAAACTAAACATGCACACAAGTCTTAAAACGTCATACGAACTTGCTCGCGCGATCAAATCGCCAAAGTAACACCTGGAACTACGAATTGAACACCAAATCAAAATGAAATTTTCAAGAAAACTTTGAAATTTCTATTTTCACAACCGGACGTCCGAACCACGTCAAACCAACTCCGTTTCTCACCAAATTTCACAGACAAGTCTTAAATATTATAATGGACCTGTACCGGGCTCCGGAACCAAAATACGGACCCGATATCAATAAGATCAAACGTCAATCAATTCTTAAAACCATTAGATTTTCAGACTTTTAATTTTTCAACAAAAATTCATATCTTTAGCTAGGGACCTCGGAATTCGATTCCGGGCATACGCCCAGGTCTTATATGTCGATACGGACCCATCGGGACTGTCAAAACACGAATCCGGGTCCGTTTACCAAAAATGTTGATTGAAGTCAACTCAAATGAAGTTTTTAGGGAAAAATCCTTATTTTTATCAACTTTCAACATAAAAGCTCTTCGGAAACCCGCCCGGACTGCGCATGCAAATCGAGGAGGGATAAAATGAGGTGTTTAAAGCATCGAAACACAGAATTTGGTTTTAAATCATAAGATGACCTATCGGGTCATCACAGATAATCAGGGTAGGTTTTTTAATTTCACAAAAATAAACTGAAAAAATACCAAACCGTACCGAATAATTTTATATAAGAAAAAATATTTTATATATTAAGTTTAAAAATAACACAATATTAACTTTTCCTCGGGCCTTGTAATTATGGAAACATCTACAAGCCAACAAGTAACTAAGAGCCTGTTTGGATGGTTGTAAAAGCTGGTCAAACCAGCTTTTAAGCCCTTTTTAACTTTTGAAGTGTTTGGCAACTAGAAAAATGGCTTAAAAAAAGCTAAAATCTGCTTTAAAAAAGCCAAAACCAACAAGTTGGGTAAACCCAACTCTTTTTAAATTGGCTTAAAAGCCATATTGCTTTGACCAAGGATATTACATTCTTATCCCTTATAATTTTTCTTAAACTCAAAATTACCCCTCAGTACCAAACTTGAAATTGCTGCTGTCTTCTTCCTCCCAAAATTGCAGCATCTACTTTCTTCATTTTACTCTTTTTCTTTCCATATTTCTCCAGATGGTAACGTTTGTTTGCTTTCTATTTTTTGTTTTTTACTAATTTTCTTTAAAATATTAATTATTGTTTTCGTTTGATTTCTTCATACCGAAATTGGGTTAGTTTTCATTTGCTTTCTTCATACTACTTTTAGTTTTTTAAATTAAAAGTGAATTAAAATATTAATTATTATGTATTTATATTATTTAAAATAAAATATTATAGTAATAAGCTTCTTTATAACAACTTTAAGGATATTTCAGTAATTTTAATAGAAAAAATACTTACTAAAACTTGTTTACCAAACACTTCAATAGCTTTTTTTCAGCGCCAGCACTTTTATCCAAACACGTAACTGCTTATTTATAAAACCAGCTCCAGCACTTAAAAAGTGCTTTTAAGCACTTTACTTAAAAGCTACTTTTTTTAAGCCAATCCAAACGGGCTCTAAAACCCAAAGTCTCAACTTCTAAACCTATTATGCTACTTCTACTGAAACTAAATTAGTTCTAGCTAGCATATTGAGCAGCAAGCGCAAGGTATTCCGGCGATTTTGAGTAGCAAGCCATAAGGTATTGAATATCTTTCCTCTTGTATGATTTAGATTTTTCTTACTGGATACTTAATCTTCTAATAGACTCTATTTTTGAGTCCCATCTTGACTAAAAATAGTGGGATGAAATTATTTTCCGGCTATTTTTTATATTCTCTTGATTCATCGTCTTTTAAACAATAAAATATCCAGAGAATTTTGTCGAAGTCCAAAGCAAGTACGTAATATCGTGTTCTAACTTCTATTAGCGACTCTTACTTGACATTTTTAAGAAAAATACTGAAAATTAACCGAATCAAATCGATACCGAAGAAATACCCAAATGATTGGCACGGTTTCAAAACGTCTAATTTTGGTTATACTAATTAGAGTAACCGAAAAATTGGTATGGTACAAATTTTATAAAATAACCGGTTGAGTCGAACCATTGACACTCCTGCTGGAGACTTGTGCTAGTTAGTACAAAAGTGGCTCCATATAAAAAAAAAATCAAATAATGTTAGACCAAGGGCATGATTTTTTAAAATTAATTTTACCTTATTCAAAAAAAAAAAAGGTAGAACAACTTTTATAGAATTCCCTTCTTGTGCCCATTAAAATGATCTTCTTGTCCTTCTGTAGATATTTCACCTCATAAAATGAAAAACTTTTCTCCTTTCAGCAATTCAAACTAGTATAAACTTATAATCTTTTATAATACAATGACAGTGATAACAATTATGCCTCAAACCCTAACTAGTTGGATTAGCTATATGATCTTTAATATTCATTTCACTCCATTTGGACCAGTTTCAACTCCAGTAGCAATATAACTGTGCCTATGAGCACATTGGCAGCCATTCAATATTGTGAGCTAGGACAGACTTCCTTTGGCTGACATAGTTTATATTTTGTTTTCTGCATTCTATAGATAGCAAATCAGCTCAACCGTGTGGCTGGGAACATTGGAAGAAAGCCGTTGAAAGTCTTTATCCAAGTTAATACAAGTGGGGAAGAAAGTGGGTAACTGGAGTATGTCTCTGGTTTATTAAAGTTCATTTGGTTCCTCCAATTTTGTGAAGGTTCTGCTGATCAAGAAGGAAAAAGTAACTGTGATTGGGTTCTGTTGCAGCTAAATCTGGTGTCGAACCAGATGGGTGTTTGGAACTCGTCAAACATGTTACTTCAAACTGCCCTAATCTTGAATTTTGTGGCCTGATGACTATTGGGATGCCAGATTATACGTCAACTCCTGAGAACTTTAAGGTTGTGGTTTTATAGTTGTTTCTTCCTGTCCTGGTTGCTATTATTATATCATCAACTCTAATATCCTGATATTCATCGTGCTTTGGTTTCAGACTTTAGCAAGATGTAGAAGTGAGGTTTGCAAGGCTCTTGAAATATCTGAAGATCAATGTGAGCTGTCAATGGGCATGTCGGGCGACTTTGAACTCGCTGTGCGTAACCTGACTTGTCACTAAGCATATCAAACCATTAGTAGGCTTAGAAAGAACTTGAATGCCACGATCCTTCTCCTTTAGGGATCAATGTGGTAGTCTGATTGGACCATGTATACAGTATTCTCTTTATAAAGTAAACCAAGTATGATAATTAGACATCTGACTCAGTTTTCGTTAATGGTCTCTATTATTAGAAGGCTTTTGAGTCTGATTTGTAATTTCCAATATCTGGGCCATCAACCCGCCCATCTCCTGCACACACCCATGCGATTAAGGTTCTTTTGCAGACTAGCATAGTAGTTTCACCCCTTCACCGTTTGCTGCAACTCAAGTTTAGTCTGAATTTTTCTTTTGATATTTCTCTATTCTTTATTGGTTTCCTCTGTATGCTTGTTTTTTTGGGGATAATAGTAGTTTAGATTGTTAACGTAGAATTTCATTTATTAATATACATATGCTCCATTCTGACTCATGTTAAGATATGTTTGAGCACAACATACTGATAATGCTTAGTTTATTGTTACAGGTCGAGATGGGCAGTACAAATGTTCGAGTTGGATCTACAATATTTGGAGCAAGAGAGTATCCAAAGAAGCAAACAAACTAGGTTGATGAACCCATTTTAGTGAAAGAAACCGAGGCAAACTTGTACCTTAAATGTTTGCTGCTTTATGGCACAATCTGGAGCGTTTTATACTACGTGATCTGAACAGCTTGTTTTCTGTACCGTGCAACGATGAACCTCATTGGCTATGTGGCCTATAGCATCTTTGTGTTCTATTCATTATTACTGCTGGCATTGTCTTGTGCTGTGATATAGATGTTCTTAATAATGTCATGGAACTCGATATATTCTAGTCCAATAGTACTGATTGATGATGTCTTTGTAGAATACATTCTCATGGCCCTGCCCTTGGATCTTGTTGAAAAAACAGCTTAACTACGTATGGCAGCTAACAGTCATAACTTGTGCGAACTAACGTTAGACTACTTGCATAATATTAAACGTTGATGTAAGGTAAAGATGCTTTCTTGAAATATTAATGAGGGGTAGTACAGCCGTTATACAATTTCTTGCATTATCAGTTGTAGGAATATCAGTTCTATATACGGGAATACTAATTGTTCCAATTTCAGTAGGACGATTTTGATATGTACATCAAACTTTGGTGACAATGATTTTTATCGTAATTTTCGAGATGAAATGAAAGGAGCAGAAATGTTTTATTTCATGTTTAAATCGAAGTGGAAGTCATCAGACAGTTACAAAAACAAATTGAATGACGAAGGCCAGAAAAGAAGTGGAAGTATCAACATTTGTTGGAAGGTGAATGAACAGGATTTTAGCTGCGCAGAGCTGTGCGTGACATTGAGCGTAGTCATCCAGGAAGAAAGTGACCATGAATAATGCACAAGCTCAAACTCAACATCCTCTTCCGCGCTTTAACACAGACGCCACTTCGCCGCTCCTCCGCCGCTACCACCACCAAGTCCTTCAACGCCACCCTCCACTGCCTTTCCTCGGAAGGTGCCCACCATCATGCTTTACTCACATACAACTCCATGCTCAAATCCTCTGTTCCTCCAGACCCTTTCACTTTCCCCGCTCTCCTCAAAGCCTGCATTTCCCTCAACCTCCTCCCTCACGGCCTTTTGCTACACCAACACGTAGTCGTTAATGGGTTCTCGTCTGATCCTTATATTGGGTCTTCTTTGATCAGTTTTTACTCTTCTTTTGGGCTTACAGAGCGTGCACACAAAATGTTTGATATAATGCCTGACAGGAACATTGTCCCCTGGACGGCTGTTATAGGGTGTTATGTACGGAGTGGTGATTTTGAGCATGCTTTTGTTATGTACAATTCTATGTTACATGATGGAGTAAAGCCCACTTCTGTTACCATGTTGACTATGCTTTCTGGGGTATCAGAGAGCATTCATGTGGAGTGTTTGCATGCTTCTGTAGTAAAATATGGATTTGTGGGTAACACTGTTTTGTTGAATTCCATGTTGAATGTGTATGGAAAATGTGGAAGAATTGAGTATGCTAGGAAGTTATTTGCGTGGATGGATGAAAAAGATATTGTTTCCTGGAATTCTTTGGCTTCAGGGTATTCTTTAGTGGGGGATACAGAAGAATTATTGAGGCTAATGTACAGAATGAGGTTGGAAAATACATGGCCTGATTATCAAACATATGGGTCCTTGGTTTCTGCAATTGCAAAAGAGGGTTGTGCCGAATTGGGAAAAGTGGTGCATGGACAGATAGTTGCTGCTGGATTTGAATTAGATGTGCATCTTGAGACCTCACTTATGTTTATGTATTTAAAATGTAGGAACATGGATTATACGTTTAAGATTTTTGAGCGAGCAAAGGAGAAAGATGTAGTTTTGTGGACGACTATCATCTCAGGACTTGTTCAAAATGAACGTGCAGATAGAGCACTTCAAGTGTTTCAAAGCATGTTGTGTAGTAGAATTGAACCGTCTGCAACTACTATAGCAAGTGCCCTTGCAGCTTGTGCTCAATTAGGTTCATTGAAAGTAGGAACTTCTATACATGGCTACATGTTGAGGCAAAGAATTGCCCTAGAGACTCCTGCCCAAAATTCACTTGTCACCATGTATTCAAAGTGTGGCTATTTGAAGCAAGCGCTTGCTGTTTTCGATATGATAAAAAGCAGAGATGTGGTTTCCTGGAATGCAATTGTTGCAGGGAATGCTCAGAATGGGCATTTAGCAATGGCCTTGCATCTGTTTAATGAAATGAGGATAAGCCATCAAAGACCTGACTCAATAACAGTGGTTTCTCTTCTTCAAATTTGTGCCTCGATAGGAGCATATCAGCAAGGGAAGTGGATTCATAATCTTGTTGTAAGGGGCTATTTTGAACCTTGCGTCAAGATAGGCACAGCTTTGGTTGATATGTACTGCAAATGTGGTGACCTGGATAGTGCGAGGAAGTGTTTTGACAGGATCGTAGAACATGATCTCATTTCATGGAGCACAATTATTGCCGGATATGGCAGTCATGGCAAAGGGGAAACTGCCCTGGAGTTGTATTCGGAGCTAGTGCAAAGTAGTCTTACACCAAATAGTGTTATTTTCTTATCTGTTTTCTCTGCCTGTAGTCATAATGGACTTGTCGACCAAGGTATGAGCTTGTTTGATTCTATGGAAAGGGATTTTAAGATTGAACCTGAACTCGAACACTGTGCATGTATAGTTGATCTACTTTGTCGAGCTGGTAGGGTGAAAGATGCATACAACTTCTATAAGACAAAATTTCCGGAACCAATGGCTGACGCACTTGGTATAATTCTTGATGCTTGCAAAACGAAAGCCTTGGTAGAACTTAGGGATATTGTTTGCAAAGAAATCTCAATGTTAGATCATGGGGATGCTGGAAGGTATGTGCAATTGGCTCATAGTTACGCTTCAATGGCCCAGTGGGAGGGCGTTGGTAAGGCATGGGTCCAAATGAGGGATCTTGGGCTCAAAAAACTTCCTGGTTGGAGTTTTATCGACTTACATGGAGTAATAACAACCTTTTTCATGGGCCAAACCTCTCATCCCCAGCAGGAGGAGATAATGTTGGTTCTCAAGAATCTGAGTGATGAGATTAGTGAAAGGGTAATCAAGTCAAACGTAGAGAATATGCCATAGGCGCTTATGTATGGCATCTTCTCCGTGCTATTTTTCCCATTGGGATCACTGATGTCAAAGGCTTGGTGAAACCCAGAGAGGAAGTCAGGAGGAGATATCTGAGAGTAAATGTCAAGTTGCTCAGGATACTGTTGTGCTATTAGGAATTGAGCAAGGAATATCAGTTTAATCTGAGTGCGAGCCAGAATTCCAGAAAGTTTTTGCAACTGCCAATTGCAAATCCATCATTCAGTTGTTCAGTCAACTATAGAGCGCAATATATGTCCATGAAGTTGAGAACTGAATCTAACATGTGACAGTGAATAGGTGTTAGAATATAGCACATTCTATGAAGGAATTCACTGTCATATAAAAATATGATCTTGGTCAATCATTACCTCATGAGCGAGCTTTTGAGGTTGAATTAGCACAAAATATTTTCTTTACAACAGGAAGTTGTTATTCACTCTGAAAAAGAACCACTTATGAAACTTCAAAGCATCAACTGTCATATCACCTTGAATTTATTTTATATTATGAATTGCAAAGGTCTGCATAAATTTGAGGAACTTCCCTGATTATTTTCCATAGAAAGTTTCATTCGATGACATCAATATTATCTACTTTTAGTCATGCAGATACCACAAGAATGAATATTTTTGCTAATAATTCTGTTTTCATGACAGGTAATATTAGTTTGTTACTATATGATATTTCTACATGTACGGCAATGGATGCAAAAATGTATTTGCAAGGTCTATCTAATGAACTGAATTAGTGAATTTGATAATGTTTCCTTTTTCGCTTTTACTCCTTTTGATTCTTGGCATTGGGGTTATGTTCAAGATCTAATAATCTTAAAGATGCAACATTGCAACTCGTAGTTTCAATTTTAGTGAACTTGCACTAACCAATATCAGTGAATACTAGCTTGAGTAATTTAAATACAACTTTGAGATGTCAAGTAACTTATTAACTGAATTTGTTATTTTGACATTGCGGAGTTCTTGCTAAAGCGTTGTAATCTTGTACATAAATCTTAGTTGCTTCTACCACCATTAGAGACGGGACCTATATTTATAATATTTCGAAAAAGAGATATTTCATTTGCAGGCAAACATAAAATCATATTATACACACAAAACCATTTTTACCCCCGCAAACAAATTGCTCCACGTCTAGATGCGAGAGTAAAGGTTAAAGTTAAGCATATACCTTAATGTAACATTTCCTTTGCATTTATACGAGACCATTTTCAGGGTGGAGGTTTGGGTGTATATATTACAAAATCTTTTTGTTTTTCACGTTTTTCTTCTTTTTTACTTTCATTTCCCCCCTTTTCTTAACCTTTGATGCAAATGTTTAATCCAATTAGATTCATAATTTTGTCAATCAGAAGCTATAAAACTATGGGATGTTTCATGTTCCTACAACATGACAAAATTCTAAAAAAAAAAAATCAGGTTAATATAAAAAGGTTTACATAATTTTAAGTGTTTTTTTGTACGCCTAGTTATACGACGGTAGTGTCTTCTAAAATCTAGAAAAAATAATACTTTTACTTGTGCCTAATTCTAATATTTACCACGTATAGAGTTGTCCAGTTTTAACATCTCCCAAAATCCATGCACCAAGTTTCGCATGGATAACAAAAAACAACAAAGTCCTAAAGATTAGATATCAAAAAAGAAAACTTCAAGAGTAGCTCAGTCACAGTTATATTGTAGATCCTTAAAAACCTCTTTAACATAGACATAACAGTTCAAGAAAGAGAAAAAAAGATCCAAACATAAAGAGACAGAGGGAAATGAATCCACAACATAAACATGGAAAAGGCAGGTGGAATAGGAAGATGGTGATGTTAGGGGTGTTAATTATGGGATTGTTCATTACTGGTTATGTAGCAGGTCCACCACTCTATTGGCATCTCTCTGAAACTATTTCTTCCTCTGCCCATTATTCTTGCCCCTCTTGTCCTTGTGATTGCGCTACTCGGCCCCTTCTCTCTTTTCCACAAGGTACGTACCTCTTTAATTAATTTTCTCTCTTGTTGTGAACATCCTTTAATAAATCACATGCGTGTTTATAATAAACCGCACGCACTTTGAACCCACTGAATTTAAATTTTAAATCTCGGGATATTTGAGAACAAAACTTGAGCAGAAGGTCTATTAAAAACAACCTCTCTACCTTCTCAAGGTAGGGATAAGACTGCGTATGCACTACCCTCCCCAGATCTCAATTGTG